GGATGGATGGATGGATGGATGGATGGATGGATGGATGGATGGATGGATGTTACTTGTTAGAGTGTAGGTTTAACAAACAACCACAAAAACAAACCCTTTAACAAACCTAACTTTGTCGTGCGATTTCTTTGGAATATGTTTTAAAGTAAGAAATAAAAGGGCTTTTTGCAAAATGTAAGTCCAGTTCCTGTTTCGACAACTGACAAAAGTCTGATTGCTTCTTTTTACCTTTGAATTATCCCAAGTTGACACCTCATGAAGCTGAACTGTACAAGAACATTAGCAAACTGTGGAATCAATAAATGAGTAGCAGAGCGAATAAAATCAAAGCAAACTCAAAGCTCATTGCTCAGGTTTGACATTAACCAATGATTACATCATCTATCTTCTCCTCCACCTCCATCCTTTAAATACTCATTTTAAAACCAACCTGGTTCACTGATCAAAGGTAAATATATAACGTGATGCACTCAGTCACCTCTAATCCAGGCAGGGGAAGGAATATAGTTGCAGATTATCAGCAGTGGGGATATGCTTAGCTGTCTCCTGCCCAGGACTTGAACCCACAGTTTCAGTGCTATAGCCAAGTCCAGAGCAGTAACCACAAGTTCTCTGCTCACACACTGAAGTCTGGCCTTTCCTTTCAACAACCATACTGTGGTCCAGTGACCAGAAAAATGACTAAATATAAACACTATGCAATTTTCAGTCTAAAGCAGCTATCACACTCCAATTTTTTTTTTCTTTCAATTGGACCTGGGAAAGTCATCTAGAAGCAGATATCATAAACAAGGCAACATACAGACTTTATACATTTGTACTAATGTACATACAAGTATGTCCTTACTGAAATATACTGTGTTTGCGCCTCAAAAAAAAAAAAAATCAAACACGATGCATTATAGTTATCCACCTAAAAAGATTTGGGGTCTTCCTGTGAAGGCATGCGACATTAAAGCACACCTGATGCACGAACGAGAAACCACAACAGTAATCTGGAGTTCCTGCCAGGCGCACAGAGGATGCATTCTTTCTCAAGGAGCCCTCTGCTCTGACAACTCCTCAAAATGCAGAGGGCAGAAAAACCTCAACTCTGCATGACAATGTGCACAGGAATTCAAAGGAGAAACTTGTATTTTATAGCATTTTGCATAACGTCTCATTTAATCTAGCTTCTCATTATGGGATGAGAAGTATGCAGAAAAACAATGGTTCCCCCGAACTGTAATTGGTAAAAGTCACAGCCTAGAGTTGGAAGTGGAACATGCATGACAGAGCAATGGACAATTTGTGTTGAAACACTGTGTTAGACTATAATATACATAAGTATATTTAAATATTCAGAACAGAAAGGTTTCCTTACAACCACACAATAGAAGTAAAGCATTTTCATACAGAAAATAAGAATTTAAACTGAGCTACTAACATAAAGAAAACAACGGCTATGAATCTTTACAGCAGCATCGCCAAGGATCCAAACTTAAGCCAGACTGACCTGCACTATGAAGGCAGCGTTTCAGTCTCGTCATCCACCTGACTGTTTTTGTGAGCATGCCAACTCACCGGTACTAAACTATTGAGACCCTGTATCACTGGTACATCATTCAAATTAATTTGTAGATCTTTGCATCTAACTCTGATCCTTTGACTATCAAAAGCAGGAGTATTCTTCCATCAGTGGAAAGGGTCTCCATCCCGTCATGCAGTTCTGAAGTGTGCAGCACAATGACAAGCAGGCTGGGGTCATCCACAGCAACCAAGGCGTCTATAATCATCTTACCTGCTTTGCACAAATGCATCTTACACACCGAAGACAAATGCAAATTGAAATTCCATGTATGTGTTTTACAACTTCAAATTTCATGTGTCTGCATTTAAATAAAAATGTTTTTGAATCTATATGGTCAGACTGGACTGGAAGGCAAAAATCACTTCTCATAAAGTTTGACCTTACACAAGCTCAGGTTCACTTTACTTCTCACTGCTTCTTCTCTCTAATAATAATTAAATTAAAGAAAAACTCCTGAATGTTTCCAAATGTGCAGAGACACTCTTAAGTCTGGGTAATGAGTACAAGAAAAACAGACAAATGGGAATAGTTTTGATGCTCTCTAGTTGGTGTAAACATTAACTTTTACCTGCATCACCTCGCAAAATCAAACAAACTTGGCTCAATATTCTCTATACAGAAGTTAGGTTGTCACTTTCTGACATGATGAAAACTGAGCTGGTAATTAATGGTCTGGGCAAATGAAGCTCCTGCAGCATTTCCTCACAGCTCATGATCCATTAGCTTGGTCTGGTAGCCTAGTAACCCCCTCAACCTGTCCCAAGGTAAATATTAATTTAAGGGTGTTACACTTTAACTCAGCTTGTTTCAAAGAAGTGACAAACAACACAATCGAGATGTGAACAAGTATTTGTGGATACCTTGTGTGGGGCTTTCAGCAGCCTGTGAACTCCGGCAATCTGATTGATCAGAGGGATGTCCTCCCTGAAAGTATACAGAGGCGGTCTGGTGGGCTCAGGAAAACTGGTGCTGTTGAACGGATCAGTATCATCTAAAAACTGCATCCTGCATATAAACGAAGCCATGATGCATCCATGCAGGGGCCAGTTTTAAAAGGTCCAAACAGTGAATGCGACGCTGAAGCCTCTGACAGACGGTGCACTCCTCTTCTTCTTCTTCCTCCTCCTCCTCCTCCTCCTCCCTCCGCTGGGGCTGCAAACAAGCGGCAGGTCCTCTCTGCAGTGGCGAGACCCCGCACCGTGTTATCCTTGGAGCTTCCCCATTAATGTTCTCACACAGCGCTGATGTGACGCCCGTCCTGGAGCGGAGGTCCGGGGGAACTCTCGGAGGAGGTGCAGGCGGGGTGCGGAATCCAAGGACACTGCGGGCTGCGGAGGTGCTGAGGCAGACTGCGGGGTGAGGACAGGACTGCTACACTTGGCGCCTGGTCTCATGCAGAAACTCTGCCTGGGAATTCAGCCAAGTTGGACCTCAGCTGGCCCGGCAGCTACTCAGATTACAGGCTCGTCAGCGACCTCCAGTGGACTTGTTGGGAACTGCGCACATAAACTGAAATGTTTGTGGAAGGAGGGACCCGGAGCTGGAGATACTTTTGGTTTCCTGTTGACATGTTTAACTCAACTTCATTACAAATCACACTGATTATTTGCACAAGAACTTTTAGTTATGGCCACACAGAGCAGAGCTGCTCTTAGCTTTAGATTTTTATTTATTTATTTTTAATTAGTTTTTTTAGATTCATTCAATTTATTCATTCATTTAAAATAAACAAAACAAATTCATCAAAAAAAAAAAACACTGAATGAAAAGGGTGTAGAAAAAAAATCTTATAATGTATGCTCCTTATTAAAAAAAATAACTACAAACAACAAGCTACACTTGAACAATCTCCAAATTGAAAACAAAAAAACAACAGGCATCCTTCACCTTGCACTATACCTTCCCACCAACTTAACCTTAACCGCCTTTTTAAACGTATAAATCGTTGTAGACATTTTTATGGCCATATCAAGGCAATTCCACAATCCTATTCCCTGAATTACAACACAGCTCCTTCAGACTAGTTCTAAATGGAGGTTTTACAAACATTTCCATTCCCTTCAGGTTATAATGACTCTCTTTTTTAAACAAATTTTAATTGAATATTTGGGGGTAATATTTTTACGAGCTTTATACATGACTTGTAAAATACTATATTCAACCAAATCATAAAATTTTAATAATTTCAACTGATGAAATAATATATTTGTTGGGTGACCATGACACTTCCTACTAATAATTCTTATAGCTCTTTTTTGTAAAATAAAAATAGGGTTTGTAATTGCTTTGCATGCTTTTCCCCAAACTTCAATACGATAGATTAAATATGGAACAATCATTACATTATACAATATATACAAAGCTTTGTCATTCAAAAACTTTTGTCTTTATACAGTAATGCAACTGATGTTATTTTTATTCTTAAGTAATTTATGAGATTTCCATGTCAGCCTCTCATCAATAACAACACCCAATTTTTTTTTCATTAATTCTATGAATTTCAATACTGTCAATTTTTAACGGGATTTCGATAATTTTCTTTCTATTACTAAATACCATGTAGTTTGTTTTTTCCAAATTTAATGATAACATATTAAGTTGGAACCAAGTCTGTATTTTTACGAATTCTGCCTGTATCATCTCTAACATCCGTTCAATATCTCCATCTGGATTAAAAAATGTGATATCATCTGCAAATAAAACACACTTCAAAAGCCCTGACACATCAACCAGCTCATTCACATGCAAAATAAACAACTTTGGTCCCAACACAGATCCCTGAGGAACTCCATTAACACAAAATTTTGATCTTACATAGTTTACCTGTACAAATTGTCTCCTATTATTCAAATAATTAACTTTGATCTAGATGTGAAGTAGCTTTGATGGAACTACTACAGTATGAAGCACAGACACCGTCTGAAACCACAGTCTGCTCGGTCACAGCTTACTCTTAATTAATATATGCTGCACAAACTACAAGTGGATCTGGACTGTTTTTCTATTTAATCAAAAAAAAAATACAACTAATGTTTTCATGGATGAAATGGTTAAAAGTGGCATGGCAATTAGAGAGATACAGATTATCAACAAACCAAATAACAGAGAAACAAACAAAAAGAGTTAATTCATTATAACAATAATTGATTTGACACCAATAGAGTTTATTGTTAGTCCTTCTGCAATTGCTTTAAATTAAAAAGTGCTTACCACAGTAAGCCCAGCCTCTATCTGGCAATCTTCTTGCTGAGAGACAACAGCTCTACCTACTTAGCCAATGTTAAAAGATAACAGCTGAGAGAACGTCATTTTGTGTTATCCCGGTAAAACAGCTTTTAAAAGTAAGCCATATGACAGACCCAACTGTTTTTCCTAGTATATCTGATGAATTCACTGGATTGACTCCTCACTATCAGTAACAGATACCATCTAACTGTCATTTATGCTCTTCCTCATCTCAAACTTCAAAGGCTGCATACCTCCAGCTGATGCTCTGACACACCACAGAGTGTATTACAGACGTCCAACATATAGGATCTCACAGTGTGAGCCATGGTTTAAATTTCAGCATCCATACACAGCTCTACTGTATCTTTACAATACGACAGTGTCTGACACATCATGAAACTCTTCAAGTGGACAGGCTATGATCCCATCACTGGACAACTGGAAGAGGAGGGAGAAGGAGGAAGCAGAGCAAAAAGGGGAAGCTTGGTCCAATGGTTTGAATTTTCTTATGGGACTGAGAAATGTGTTACTTCCCCTACAGAGAGTAGAGACCAGTTGTGTTTTCAGGGTTTAAGGTTGTTCTAGTAAAATATTGAGCACTGGACAATGGAAATAATAGTATACCCAACTTGTGCCTAACATGTGAATCAAAATGGTTGGCATTTAGAATAAAATAATAGAAATATCCTTTATTGCCCCTCAGTGGGGAAATTCAGGTGAACCAGGAGTAGAGTGACAGGTCAATCAAACAATGCAGATTCACACAATATGAATGAGCTTTACAGCATAAGAAAAAAAAAATACTGTGCAGTTATTAAAAAATACCCAGATTTTAAGATGTGAACTGAGTTGGATCATTTAAAGAATGTGCAACATGTGCATGCGTTTTTGCACGTAAAAGAAAACAACACATTAAATGTCCAAGAAATGGAACAACTCTGTGTTGGCAGGGATGTAAACACAGAGTTTGTTGTGATCGTGATAGTTATGAAGTTTAACAGCTGCTGGGAGGAAGGACCAGTGATAACGCTCCTTTGTGCACCTCGGATGCAGCAGTCTGTCACTGACGGAGTTCTCCGGCTCGGTGACAGCTTCATGCAGGGGGTGGGAGACATTGTCCAACGGTGTTGTTATTTTTGCCAGAGTTCGTCTTCCTCCCACCACCTGCACCGGGTCAAGGGGGCATCCTAGGACTGAGCTGGCCTTCCTGATGAGCTTATCTAACCACGTCCTCTCAGCTGTGAATAAGCTGCTCCAGCAGACTCCACCATAGAAGATGGCTGATGCCGCCACAGAACCAAAACTGTGTTAACTACTAGAGTGAGATTTATTGTGACCATGACTTCATCTGCAGTTTTCATTTTTAAGGCTAGGTTTCAACCTTCGTTTTATGTGGAACACATGGCAAAATGCTATTAGCTTCACAAAAATAAAACTTTAATTCCGTTATTCACACTTCTACGTTCATGTTTTAGACATCTCCCTTTGTACGTCAGTTTAATGCTATGATAATTCTGATTGATGTAAATTATGCGTGCATTTGTACAAAATGCAGGGTTGTTGAGGAATTTTCTAAGACACCTTTAGTCTCTTTACCTGGTATGGGAAATGTAAAAAGAAATACATCACCTGCACATATTTGCACACAAAAAAGAAAGAAAGAAAAGCAAGAAGCATTAATGACTTGGTGTAACTTGGTAAGTGGATGCAGATGAAATAATGAGAAAGAGGCAACAAGGAGGTCTGGTGTCAAAATAAAGGCTCTGAGGACACCTAGAGGCATGGATTGAAAATCGATTAACCTTTAGGAACATTTACACGGACATAAAATAAAATACAATATAGTAAATAAATAATAAAGCTAATTAAGATAGCATACAATACAAAACCATAAAATTATTGCAGTAAAGCACAAAACAGGAAGTAATTCCTGACTTATACAAACAAAGTGGCTGCTGATGCTCCGGCATCATGTATCTGTCCAGCTGGGGTCACTGTGGTCAGTGTGGAATGTTTAAAAGCTGGCTAACTAAAACAATTGTAATTTATGATCAACAACTTTTATATTTGAAATAAATCCGATATTTGACTAAAGTATAAAAAGATTTCTAGATTCAAGGTATCGAAAAAAAATTGTGACCAACTTATTTGTGTAAAGAGACGTCCAAACAAGACTGTTTATAAATTACAGTTCTCTATTATAGTGTGTACAGACAATGGAAAAAAAAAATACTACTGTCTGAACCAGTTGGGATGATTTGAAAGCAATGTTAATATAAACTTGATTTTATACTAATTCAAATAGCAACAGTGACTTCAAAATACACTGGCTTTCATAAAACATCAGCAAACACACAGTGTCATTTATGTCAATTTATATGCCCTATATATTAGCTGTTTTTAATATATTTGATTCAAACTGATGTAAATTATAATTCCTGAAATTGATGTGTACCACTTAGGTAAATACTGTGCCCAATAGTACAACGTAATTAAAATACATGTACATATTTTCATGTACATGTATATGTACAAATATATCTACATATGTTCAGCATCATGAAGGACCCCACTCACCCAGCACACACACTTTTTGCCCCGCTCCCCTCAGGAAGGAGGTTGAGGAGCATTAAGTGTAGAATCACTAGACTGAGGAACAGCTTCTACCCTGAGGCTGTTAGACTCATGAATCTCTAGCCAGAATAATCACTGTGAAAAATCACATCATGTTGCTGCTGATCTGTTTCATGTTGCTGCTGATCGGTTTCATGTTGCTGCTTATCTGTTTCATGTTGTGTTCTTTCATACTCATCTGCTCACACAGACTCATGTTCGTGCTGCTGTTCGACGTAATATTTTTATGCTATTAGTGCTTAGTGTATTTTTTATTTATGTTTTTCTTAGTTCATATCTTAGATCTTATTACTATTTTTCTTTTACATTTTATTTTTGGATGTAACTGGGACCCTGTGTACATAATTTCGTTCCACCACATGTGCCATATGTGGTGTGAATGACAAATAAAGAAACTCTGATTCTCTGACTCTGATAATCATTAATTTATTACAAATTACCAGATAATATTCAAAACTAATAGACTAAGCTTTATCTGTAGGATTTATTATACTATACTGATTGAACTGTTTTCACTCAAAACTAATGGAAAAGGTCATGCCTATTTATGATTTGAGGGAAAAACTTGAAGATATTTAATTTTTTTGCTGTGAACCTACAAACATTAGAACTCTACCAGACAGTTGTATTAGTGTGCATCATCTTGTTAAAAACATTTAATAAATAAAAGGCAAAGAGCAGGCTTTTGTCATAGATATTATCACAAGTATCACATTAGTTCACAATTTCTTCTACAGCAGAAATTAAAATGATTTTGTTTTAGTACACGTAAAGCTCAAAACTGAACAAAATTGTCACTGTAAGCCCAGCCGTGTTGCACGAAAAGATCATAAACAAAAAATGTACAAAAGACTGGACCTCACAGTTGTTTTTATTTTATTTTATTTTACTTAAAAAAACTAGTTTCCTGTTCTGTTTGAAAGGAAATCACTGAAACACAACAGATAAAGCACCTCAGTGGTTTGTGGAAATTAATATCCAGAATTAAATATCTGTAATCAATGGGTTTGAGCTGTTGCTGTTCCACAATCACTAATCTATTCATTCCCTGCTTAGATTGAATCAGCTTAAAGACACATCTTTAACCATATGAAAACAGCAGCTATTTGTTCTGTGTCTTCTACCCCCAAATACGAGTGATGTAATATTGCATGATGTGTTCATACTGTAACTTTGTTCACATGTTAACAGTTCATATGGGTGTACAAGCATGTATGTCCCTCACTGGCCATGTGTGTGCGTTTTGAGTAGCACGCAGCAACGCTTTTTTTGTGTGCCATGTGTGTGGACAGTGATATTGTTCACAGAGTGTCACGTGCTCTGGAATATGCTGGTTGCCTTTGTTGTCCCTCTGCCTATTCTGCCTTTCTGGCACTTTCATACAATGGTGCACTTGAACACTGTGATGTTATTAAGCCTTTCAAACTACTACAGCTGGAATTCCAGCTCTCAGGAAAGACTCCCATCCTAGTGTGGGACACATGGCACAAGATACATCATTGAAGAATATCTGAGGACTGAGAACATCCAAGCAAAAGGTGACAACTTATCCTGCACTGCTTATGATCAATTTCATTTTTGCCTGTCAAGGATTGTGTTTACAGAGCCTTACTTTGTTCAGTGGCTATATCTAGTCACAGAAAATACTTTTTTGTTTTGCACCAGTGTTCTCAGTTTCACAGTCAGACTTGACCTAATTATCACGTTCTGCTGTGTTTGCTGTTTGCGATTCAATTGGAGAAAATTGCTGCAAACAGGCAACAAACGTTTGTATTTAACGCAGGCAATGTTAGAGAGGAAGAACTGAAAATGTACATTTTTAAAATTTACATTTCTCTTCTAGGAAATGTCCCAGCAAGGAGATGCCTCTCAGTATGGCGGGGTTATGGTTGAATTTGAGTCAGGCGACATCAGGGATCCAAGCGCTATAAAAGCACCAAGCATACCAGGTGAAGCTCATTTAAACGCAGGGAGATTTTGTGCAAGGTGTTGGTAAAGTGTTGTAAATGGAACTTATTTTGATCCTTGTGCATTTGCTTGTAAGGTTCAGCTCTTATCTACCTCAAGGGTCCCAAGTTTCTCATCTATGTCAGTGGAGCGTTGTCCATGTGGGTAAGAAACCTTTCTGGAGGAACGGATCTCAAGAGCAGTCCACAAGACACCACATATGCTTGGCTTACTACTTGTTAGTTGTGTGGCAGCATATTGGCAGTTGTTCCCAATCAGAAAGTGTAATAATAAGCTTGTATCTTGTGTTGAACAGGGTGACCGTATGTGGCATTTTGCAATTTCTGTGTTCCTGATTGAGTTGTACGGCCACAACCTGCTGCTGACAGCCGTGTTTGGACTGGTGGTGGCTGGCTCTGTGCTCTTGCTTGGGGCTTTAATCGGAGACTGGGTTGATCGCAATCCAAGGAATAAAGGTATGTGGTCATTTCACGCTCTTTTGTTGTTGCATTTTTAGAGAACAGCACTAAAAAATCACTGGCTTCCAACTTTGAGCCGAGACATTTGCTAGTCTTCCTTGGTGGTGAATTCTATTCCCCAGATATCTGAAATGTAAATCAGTCCTAGATTTGATAGCTACACTAAACCAGCAGGACTCTAGGTACAGTTCACAGCTCATGACACACATATTCATTTTTTTTAGGTTGTATCAGTATGAAAATCTGAAACTGTTTTTTTTTTTACCTGTTTTCTATTTTAGTTGCACATGCATCTCTTTTCATTCAGAACATCTCAGTGACTGTATGTAGCATTGTGCTCATGTTGGTGTTCTCATATAAGCAAAGAATTGAAGAGATCTGGGATGGATGGCTCACTGTAAGTAGACACTATTTATTGACCAATATATGCTGGTAATTGAACGTACAACAGTGGTTTTATATACTTTAACTTGTCAGTGTATATGATTGCAGAGAGAAGTTGCTGCTGTTGCTTCCTCTGTCCCGTGTCCTTGATTTATCTGCTTCTGAGTTTGTGGCTACTCTGTGATGTCTTAGTAACATGTTGCATCGCAAAACTCACACAAGGTGGTTTGTTATACGGTGGTGATCATCCTGGCAGATGTGGCAAACCTTGCAAGCACAGCGCTGACCATTGCCATTCAGAGGGACTGGATAGTTGTTATTACAGGCTACAATCGAGGTCACCTGGCTGGTGAGAAATACATTCAAATAAACATGATTTGATTCTTTGATTCTCATAGACTTAGATAAGACTTTTAGCATAATAGATGCTTAAACTAATGAAAATATTGACTGATCTCTGCTTTTGCATGAACTTCGTGAGAGGACCCACTTTAATCTCCATGTGTTTGATCTTAACAAAAGGAATGAATGCAACCATGAGGCGGATAGATCAGGTGACCAACATCCTGGCCCCACTAGCAGTGGGCCAGGTCATGACCCTGGCCTCCAATGTGGTTGGCTGTGCCTTCATCCTGGCATGGAACCTGGTGTCTCTTATTGTGGAGTTCTTCTTCCTGTCAAGAGTGTATCGAATAGTCCCTGCTCTTTCAGTCAAACCCCCAACAGTTGAGACTGATCAGGTGTTTCGAGACAGGAGAGAAAGAAGAAGGTTAGAAGGTATGTACTAATTTCATTCAAATATGGTTCTGTGACCTTTCATGCTGCGTTTTATTGCTAGAACAACTGTGAGAAATCGAGATTTATAGAAAATTTGCTTAAAAGCTGCTGCGTCAAGGATAGATTGGCCATGAAAAAACATCGTGGGGGTGGCTGATATAACCTCAAAATTGTATCTCAATAAATCAAAGTAATTTTCAATGACCTTTCTGGAAATATTTCTAAAAAAGATGAACATTTTCAGCGTGTTCTTAGGAGCGCCTTTATTAGTTCAAACAAGAGATTCTTCAGCTTTTATTTTCTATGATCTTCTGTGCATAATGGCAATGTGCTTCATTGTTACTATGGCCCTGCAACAGCAGTTTATAATGCAAAAGCAGAGACACTGCCACACCAAACTGTGCAAGCACTGAAGTAACTCCAGAGAGATAGATCCAGTAAACAGCCAACAAATCGCAAGAGGCCAATACTTGTTGCTAAAAAAGGGAAAAAATAATTAACAATCTGCTTCGCTTGTATCTACTAAATTTCCAAGTATGACGTTGAAGATGCAGCAGCAGCCCGTATTATAATTAGCCCTTGAAATTTTTTGAAGCAAGAAAACCCTTCCATGTAATATGTTCAACAATGCAAGTTCTTCAAAAAGTTTCTTCCATGATTTGTTAAATATACAATTTTATATATATTTTCAATGCTGAATAAATATTGGTCAAAAATAAACCAAAAAAAAAAGTATGTTTATCAGCCACTGACAGCTCTGATTTCTAAAAAATAGCAATGACAATGGACTTAGAAAAATCTCATATGGGTCAATTAATTCTAGGTCATGTTTTCCCCAGAAATCTTTAGTAAAACTATAATAATCATTTTACATTAACAGAAGCAATATCATTCTTCAGAAGCTAAATACACTGGCACACACCTAAACAAACAAAAAAAACAATTAAAACATAAACACCATCTGTAATGACCAAAACTTCAAACAAACAATAGTAAATTTCAATAAAGCCCATGCTCAGTAATTCAGGTATACATTAATGAGCATGGACTTTGTTGTTTTCAACCAGTTTGACATGACTGTCAACAAGGAAGAGTGGCGGCAATGGAGGAGGGGGCGTGACAAAGAGACCATCTTAGCATCAACAAAACTGGTTTGTTCCACTTTGGAGTAAGCTGTTAAGGGAAGAATCAGTTTTGTTGTGTGTTTCCTTGACTGATGAAGCCTTCCAGATCGAAGGCGAAACGTTTCAGCACAAAAAAAAGAAACTGTCCAGATGACCTGACTGAAAATGTTGGAATAGTAAATTTCATACACTGCTACGTCTAAATGTCATTCTAAGTGCACATCTGCATTACAAAGTTCAAGGTTCAAGGTTCTTTATTGTCATTCACTTCACATGGTACATGATGTGGAATGAAATTACTGTATGTACTCAAGGTCTCAGTTACACACAATATAGCAAAAATATAAAGTATAAAAATAAACAGAATATAAGGATCTAAGCTATACACTAAGATATGTGCTAAACGAACACTAAACAGTACACCAAAAGAGCTACAATATATGCTAAACACTAATAATGTAAAATAATATGATATATTAAACAGTAGCCCGTTACTATCTATCGACAGCATTAAAGTAGCATTAAAGTAGCTTCTACAGGCTAATGCATCAATCTAGTCCTCCATGGAACCACTCCTTATTGGTGCATCAGAACATCACCCAGAAATAATAGACAACTTTCTGGTCTTGGCACTGACAATCTTATGTTTGTATCAGACATCATGAAGAGGCTGTTCTTGGTGCAAGATCTGAGTTTGGCATTCAGTGTTTGCACTGTTCAATATATGCAGCTTGAAATAGTGTGCAAACTCATTTTTCCAATGAGTACCCTATGTGCTATGTGGATTAAAGAATCAGTGAAGTGAACCCACTCACCTCACTGCTGTGCATGCTAGAAATGTAAAGGCTTTCTTTTGTCATGTCATTGATATTGCTAAACATTTTTTAATAGTCCAAAAGTTATTCAAGTATTATCAAATAAGACCTTATATCACAGCCATACTTGCTTGTATATAATGATTGATAACATAATGGCATGTATGCACATCACCTATACAGGAGAAGTAAATATTACATCATCTGCTATCCGTTTAATACAGACTCAGCATATTCTGACTGGTCTTTCAATTTTATCCTCATTCTAATCATTGGGCTTCTGACAAATTTTGAAACAATATGGTACGATGTGACCGTTACTACCACTATGTGCAATATTATAGTGAGATATGTGCCAGAATCAGGTTATAGAGTGGAAGCGCAAAGATTAGAGAAGGTGAGTTTAGTACTGAGAAGTCGCCAGCTCAAATCTATTCACTGTTCCAACAAGATCTGTGTGGGAAAGATGAAGCAGCCACACCAGCCTCCACCCTCATTTGCCCCACTCTGAGCCCTTAACCCCTGCATCTGGTCCCTCAGACGCTGTAGCTGGCAGCCCTCCATGGTCAGAGGCTGTGTCAGGATGGGCATCCAGCATTAAAACCATTGCCAAAACTCATGCAAGTTTGACTTCTGTGGTGATCCCTGAGGAAGGGAGCAGTCAAAAAAAAAAAGTTCCAGATAATTTTCATATGGCTCAAAGAATCCATCCGTTTCCTTTACCCACTTCTTCCTTTCACTCATGCCCATTTTATCAGTGACTATGCGAATGGCAGGACACACACTGGACAGGTAATAAATCCATCTCAGGACTCAAAGAATATATTGATAAAAAAAAAAAAAAAAAGTTACACTTGGCAGTATGGCATTTTAAAAATATAAACAAAAACTGTGATTAGCCTATACAATGTAGGGTTAATATATAATTTATATACTATGTTCAAAACAAGAAAGCACAACAGGAGCAAGTAGAAAAAAAAAACAACTCCTGTATTTCCAACTAGCCAGAATTATTGTGAGTAAAATACTTTGCACCAGAGTACACAGTCAGCATTTTATTTGAAGCTCATGCAGATCAGTGTAGAAGGACTCTATTTGACAAATGAAGTGAGAATTGACAAGTAGCAGAAACTCTGCAGAAAACCAGCTGAAGATTAAGCGTTTGGAATTAATGAACTGAACTGATGGATTGCTATTCTTCTTTCTCATCAGGGGAAGGCAATGTTGCACAACCGCAACCCCTGAATGAGGGCAACTGCAGCTCACATGTGCATCTTAAGGAAATCACCAACTTGCCATTGTGTTTCCGGAGGTTTCGCCGGCTGGTGAGCACTTGTAAAGATGGCTGGAGGGCCTATTATCATCAGCCTGTCTTTCTGGCAGGAATGGGCCTAGCGTTTCTCTACACTACAGTCCTGGGGTTTGACTGCATCACCACTGGCTACGCCTACACACAAGGCATAAGTGGATCCCTTCTAAGTCTATTGATGGGTGTGTCAGCTATCACAGGGTTGATGGGCACCATAATGTTCACCAGACTCAGGAAGACTTGTGGCCTGATCAATACAGGCATCATCTCCAGCTGCCTCCACCTTGGCTGCTTGTTGCTATGTGTATGCTCTGTGTTTGCTCCTGGCAGCCCCATGGATCTGAGCTTGCTAATGCCCTACTTTAGCTCCAGTTCCTCAGCTGAGCGTGGAGGTATGGCAAGCCAAAGGCAAAAACACCCTTATTCTCTGATGGGAGGAAGCAACCAGCCACTGCTTCCTGATCGCTCCTCCATCCACTGGACCAACAACACTGTGCTTTTTGACAACGTGCCTTCTGGAACAACACCAGATTCTTACATCTCCATAATTCTGTTATTCCTGGGCGTTATCACAGCACGCATTGGTGAGTCCACACACATAAGAAAAGCTGACTGAATAAATTCAGGAAATTATTTCTACACAATGAAACACAAGATTGCTTGTATGTGAGGATGCCCATTACTACGTTATGTCTTCTGACCAGTAAGGAGAACATTGTTGTTCATCTTGTTAAAGCACAATGTTTGTTGGTAGAACCTGACAATTGCATATATCACTTTGACATTAGCTACCCACCCAAACCCATTTGCAGACCAATCTCAACTTCCACATGGCAGCAGCACTGTCCAACAGAAGTAGTCAACCACAAGAAGGCACTTGTGTAATATACTACAGACATACACGCACACACCAAAGTCTTCCCCTTCCCTCAAATCCCCCAGATCTCATTGTGACTGAATCTGATTTCATCAGTGGAAAAAAAAATCATAGATATTCCATTCTACATCTGTAGCACCAAGAGCTTATACTGCTAATATTTTACCAGACACCTTGAAGGAATAGTTCTGATTCTTTTGTGGGGGTTTTGTGCAGTACTTTAGAGCAGTCAGTACCTTACCTGCTGCAGACAGTAATCAGAGTAAACTCAAATTTTCTGGAATCACCCTAATGACCAGTATGACTGAGATCTACTCCAGGGCAGACTTCAACAGATTAACAAGAGCTCAACTTTAAAAAGACCTTGCAGAAGGTGCCACCATGTACTAATTTAAATGTGTCTTTTGTTATTATTAATGAAGACTATCTGGGTTGGAACACAATCTGTAATCTTTTACAATACGTTGTGTAGAACATACCAGATGTGACTAAATGTACCCTGTCTGTAACTGTATGATGTTAAAGTACAAGTGCATCTAAAGTGCATCTAAAATTATTAGTACTATTTGTACATGATTTATTTTTTTTGTCAGTCATTTCAGAAAGTGAAACTCATATTACATGGATTCAGTACATTGAGGGAAATATTTTAAGACTTCATTTCTTGTAATTTAGATGAATTTGTCTTACAAATAATGAAAACTACAAATTCAGTGTCTCAGAAAATTAGAATAGTGTGAAGAGGCTCAATATTGTAAACATGTGGTGTCACACCCTGATCAGCTGATTAACTTCTAGACATGAGCTGCAAATGTCTCATTCCTCAAGTCGAGTCACTCCTGAACCAGAGACAACATCAGAAGTGTCTGACCTGCTGAGCAGAAAAAGAACTGGACTGTTGCTCAGTGGTCTAATGTCCTCTTCTCACATGAAAGTAAATTCTTCGTGTCATTGGAAATCAAGGTCGCAGAGTGTTGAGGAAGAGTGGAGAGGAGCAGAATAAACAGTGCTTGAAGTCCAGTGTGAAGTGTCCACAGTCAGTGATGATTTGAGTCCATGTCCTCTGCTGGTGTTGGTCCACTGTGTTTTCTGAAGTCCACAGGCTCCTCGTGCTTCCTTCTGCTGATGAGCTTCATGGAGATGCTGCTTTTATTTTCCAGCAGGACTCAGCTCCTGCCCACACTGACAAAACTACCAAAAGCCTGCTATGTAATCTTTTAGCAAAAAGTAGTTTATTTAAGTGTACTACAAGTATACTTATTTTACACTAAAAATGAGGAAGTGTACTTGAAGTTTACTTTTTATAAACTTTATTTGATATACTTAAAAAAAGTATAAAACTGTCCCAATTTAGTTCAAACAAGTATTAAATCAGTATACTTTCTTGTACACTACAAGCATGGTGTGTAGTATACTTGATATACTTGTACTTAACTTAAAGTATACATGCAAAAATTAACTTCAAATGTACTACTTTTTGTTAAGGGATATTGTATTTTTCTGAGACACTCAATTTGTTTTTTTTTTATCATTATTTGTAAGCCATAATCATCAAAATTACCAGAAATAAAGTCTTGAGATATTTCACTTTATGTGTAATGAATCTGTCATATTTGAGTTTCACTTTTTGAAATGATCGGAAAACAAATTGAACTTTTTCACGATATTCTAATTTTTTTAGATGCACCTGTAATGTGCTGTACAAATCCACAACAGTGCTTGTTTAAATGGATAAACAGTTTGATTTGTTTTAGATGGCTGCAATCTGCTCTGAAATGATCAATTAATGTGACTCCTTCATGAGAATAACTTCCCAGTTCTTCAAACTCAGATTTCTCTGACAGCAAGAAAGCTACCATCGTACTGAAACCTTCAAAAGGATCAAACTGACCTTTAAATATCTTTTTGCCTGTCCGCAAGAGGGTAATAGACAAAACTGTATCAGTGTTGGCAATTACAAAATGTTTGGCTTAATAGCATTTTAATAAAGGCTAAAATGAGGTCATAACTGTCCATCTTGCATGCCCAAGTTTTAGGCAAAGATCTTACATGATTTGCTGACACTCACAGTGTATGCCAGTAATAACTATCAATTTCAAACATTTAAATTTTTCTCAGTACCTTTAAAATGTATTTTGGGGTTTTCCAGTGTTGATTCACTGTTTCAACCACCTTGAATCAAGTTGACTCCAACCATTACACAGTTGTAGACATACTACCAATTATTACTTTCTGAGAGATTCAATAAAATAGGTCCAAACGTTCATGACTGTTCATCTTTTGTAGCAGCAGGGGATAAATAGGCTCACTTTAGCTCCACTTGGTTTGTGGGAACAGCTCAGGTATGGGGTCTGATTCTGCTGATCATGTGTGTTTCAGGTCTGTGGTCCTTTGACCTGACTGTCACCCAGCTACTGCAGGAGACCATCTGTGAGTCAGAGCGAGGAGTAGTAAATGGAGTGCAGAGCTCCATGAATTACCTAATGGACCTGCTTCACTTCATCATGGTGATCTCTGCTCCACAACCAGAACACTTTGGCATTCTTGTTATTATTTCTGTATTATTCATCACTTCTGGGCACAGTATGTATTTTTTTTATGCGCACAGAGCCAAGAGAAAAGACCGTCTTGGCACATAATGAGGAAACATGACTTACACATCCAGGCATAAAAAGCTTATGAGCACTGGATCCACTCTGCATCTGGGAAATGAATGCCTCTCTCTCCTGATCATACATATATTGCACCACTTTGCTTTGCCATTCTGCACAGCAAGCTTGTGTCACACCTCACTTGCTTTCCAGAGCACCACAACAGTAACGTGAACTCAAGTGAAGAAGAGTGGGAGACAGACTCCCCCTTAATGTACACAAGTTGAGGTGGCAACAATGCAGGAATGACACCGCCAGGGGAAATATCCTGATGTAACAGAACAGGGTTTATAATGATTAAGGCATCGGTGCATTTCAATGCAAACTCTTCAGAATGACTGCAGCTGTGAGACATTCAAACAAGTTTGCTACCATTCATGGCTTTATATGGATGGAGAGATTTTTCTAACTTTCACTCAGCGAAGAAGAGATGTAGTGTGGACAATCCATGTGTGAATGATGGAAATAAAAAGATGACAAACAAGTGGCATTGATGTTACTGATCCGTCCACTTGGAAATACTCCGGGAAGTCCAGAAAGGAAGATAAGGGAATTGTATGTGAGACTGTTCGATTTAAAACTTGAAAAAGCAGCCTCCCCTTTTATTGGACAAAGTGAAAGGACAGACATATTATCTTTCACCTGGTTTGTTTCTCTGTGGATGAATCAAGCAAACATTTGCCTTTTTAATGCATGTACACCTGAACTATATGAAATCACTATCACATTATAGCAGGTACTTGAGTCAAAGTTAAGTAGAATTGTATTTGGTAGTATATTTGATCTTAAGACTTGTGTACTTAGATTAGTAAAAACTAAATGAACTTTATTTAATTCCCTGATAAAGAGTGACCTTACTTTTCAATAACTTTAAGAACTCTGTTTTTGTGGCATGTTTGAAATCAGTGTTAAGTACAAGGTATTGGCAGCAAAAGTCACTGCTACTGGCAGAACCATTTTTCCTTTTTGTTCTGTAGTTCTGATGAACTAAAACATTACCTCAGCTAAGAACAAGTACACGTTACATTATTTAGTAATTACTCTCAACTACACATTTTCATATTTCTTTCATATACAATTTCAAATGCTATGAAAGTATCATCCATGTTTGATTATTTGTCATACAAGTATCACATTTTAATATATTTGTAAAAGTTTTCTGTCTGTATATGTTGTACTCATTTCAAAGCCTGAAATTTATGAAAATAAAGCAGACTGAAGAATATTTTTTTGGAGTCTTGGATGCATAAATTTATGTACAACACTTTTTTCATTCAGTATTAAAAGAGATGTTGCCATCAACTTTATCCAAAAACTCCTGAATAACACACTCAAATTTCTAAGAAGCATATGGAAACATGGTAATGAATACGAGCTAAACAATTAGAATGACGCTAAGATGCATCACCAAACTGAAAATGTAACCCTGGAAGAAAAGTTTTCTTAAAAATAGACAAAAACACTCAAATGACAAACATGGCTAGAATACAAAGGATTAAACAGCAGCTAAAAGCTAATGTAAACACTTTAGGAAGTCATGTTTAATTCCTCTTATCATGTCAATGATTTTAAAGGTTAGACAATACAAATGCCATCTTTTATAACCTCTTAGTAAGTGTAGGGTGTTTGAAAGGTATGAATATCAAGCACCTACTAATGCATAAATTACCTAAATCCCTAATGTTGGCAATACCTACCAGCTAATACTACACTGGAAAAATGTGACTGTTCATTGGGTTATAATACTTTAATCACAATTATGCAGTTTGCCTTTGGTAAGATGATGATGGTCTCACCGTAGGAGAGAAAGCAATTTCACTGGATAGTACCACTGCACACCTGAAAATTAAATAAACACAAAGCAGTCAGTCTTCGGTTGTACAATGTGTAAGAAAAGTCAAGTAATCTTTGTAGCCTGTGGTGGGTCGATCTTTTTTAAAATTTGTGAGACATATAATTGTTGAGTGGGATATTCTTATTTCACTTCAGTTTATTGAGACAAATTGATAGCTACACCAATCTTGGTGCATTTTAATGTCCATTAATTTTTCAGCTCAGGAAATATTTCAATAGCGCAGTATTATTTCTTAAGGCATCAGATGAGGATGATTTTTTTAAAGTTTCCTCCTCACCTCTAGATAGGTACAAAGGCTTTAAAGGAGAATATTATAAGAGCTAGTCACCATTAAATATGGTGTCAATGCCATATTTAGAAGTGTTTTGATGTTGCTTTCCAAATTGACACAAAGTATCACTCATGTTAGTTTTGGACATCAGCTAACAGACACAGAGATAATGACTTTTACTAAAGTTAATCTGAAAACAAAATGCTGCTTTCAAATATTTAAACAGTTTCTAAAAATATATATATATATATATTAATGCGTAAAAACAAACCTTGAAAACTGCAGGTGTATCAAACTACTGTATCTTAATTATCAATACTCTTCTGAAAATTACTCCAATAAAATCCAGAGTAATAGAGAATAGGTGGTTTTACTTATTCCACATGAGGTTCTGTCTCAAGTGAAGGAGTTCAAGTGTGTTGTGGTTTTGTTCACGAGTGAGGGAAGAATGCAACGTGAGATTAACAGATGGATTGGTGCAGCATCTGAAGTGTTGCAGACTCTGCAGCAGTCTGTTGTGGTGAAGAGGGAGCTGAGCTGTAAGGCAAAGCTTTCTGTTTACAGTCGGTCTACATTCCTACCCTCACCTATGGACACAAACTCTGGGTAGTGACCGAAAGAATGAGATTGCAGATACAGGCAGTTGAAATGAGTTTCCTCTGCAGGTTAGCTGGAACCTCCATTAGAGATTGGGTGAGAAGTTCAGTTATCGGGAGAGACTCAGAGTAGAACCGCTGCTCCTCCACATCGAGAGGAGCCAATTGAGGTGGTTCGAGTATCTGGTAAGGATGCCCCCTGGGTGCCTCCCTAGGGCGGTGCTTCGGGCATGTCCGACTGAGAGGAGACCCTGGGGAAGACCCAGGACATGCTGGAGAGACTATGTCTCTTGGTTGGCCTTGGAACGCTTTGGAATCTTCCCAGAGGAGGTGGAAGAGGTGGCTGTGGAAAGAGGTGTCTGGGCTCCCTGCTCAAGCTGCTGCCCCCACGACCTGACTTCGGAACAAGTGGAAGATAATAGATGGATGGATGGATTAGATAGAAAAGTGCCATATAAGTACAGTCCATTTACTGTTCTCTGACTTTACCCTTTTTCTCACCTTCACCACAACAGTCATCCTACACACCACCATCCAATGCTGTCTGACCACCTTTTTCCCTGCCACAACCTTACAGTGTCCAATCTCCTCCAGGTTATCCCTTCTACACAGAATGTAGTCTATCTTCATACTCCTGCCTCCACTCTTATAGGTCACCCTATGTTACTCCCCATTTTATAAGTAGGTGTTAGCTACAGGTATTTCCATCCTCTAGGCAAAATCCACCACCATCTGTCCTTCTGGAAAAAATCCTTTCCTTGACACCAAACCTATAAATCAGACCAGTCACTGTAGAGCTCTTAGGAACTGGCATGATGGTGGTGGTCTTCAGGCAGGTGGGAACAGTAGCCTGTATGAGGGAGGAGTTAAACATATCAGCCAGCAACTCGCAGAGCTGATAAGCACAGTCCTTCAGCACCCTCCCAGGGATGTTGTTTGAGCCAGTGACATTGTGAGAATTAATTTTCCTGAAGGTCCTGCTTACTTCTGCTGGGGTCATGCTGAGTAACTTCTCTCCAGATGGTGAGGTAAGTCTGGTGATGGGTGGTTTGGGTCTTCAAAGCAGGCATATAACCTATTAAGAGCATCAGGCAGTGAGGGGTCCCGCATTGTGCACCTCTGCTGTTATAGTCTGTGATGCACTTAATGCTCTTCCACATGCTCCGTGGGTCCTGTCAGGAGAGATGTGCCTGGATCTTCATCTAGACCCTTCTTGCCTTCCTTGATGCAGTCATCAATAATGTCATCATATGAAATCTGCTCAGTTGTTGTATGGTTGATACTGACAGCAAATGGCTAACAACTAAGACAAACACAAACAGACCTGCATATATGTGCAATTTGTGAAATATTCAGAATAGGAAACAAATCAATGCCCCTTCCAGTTAGCGGCTATTTAATATAGTCCAAGCTACATCACAAGATCATTGCATTTAGTAATTATAGTAGCGTAGTATTGTTTTCCCATGTAGTAATTTAGGTGCTATGTATTGTCATCATTGCATGTTCCCATACAATGACAAAATTTGTGCTCTGTATTTAACTCATCGCATGTAAGATACACTCAGGTGCTGCAGCAGGCAGCTATGTGGGTGCCTGGAGAGCAGTTGGGGATTGGGTGTCTTACTCAAGGACCCCACAGCATGTGGGCATGGCGGGAAGTTGAACCTGTGACATTCTGGCTCCAAGTTGGCTGACCTACCTCTACACCATCTCGGCCCCTTATTATTATTCTAAGCAGCTAAACATAAACAACAGTTAGTGTCTTAATAGTAATCTTGCAACAGGCTATAGCTTACATAAATGGTAAATGGACTGTACTTATATATTACCTTTCTATCTAATCAAGATACTTAAAGCACTTTACAATTTAATCTGTGTCCTCATTTACCCATTCATACAGCACTCTACTAGATCTCTAAAAAGCTAATATTACTCTGTAGAAACTAACCAGTGCTTTTTAATCACATTCATACACCAATGGGACACACATCGGATACAATGAGGGGTTCAGTGTCTTGCCCAGGGACACTTCAACATGTGACCGCTGCTGGAATCGAACCCCCTACTCTTCCAGTGGAGGATGACTGCTTTAACCACTCAGCCACAGCCTTCCCAATACATACCATAACATCTTTCTTTCTCCAAGAGATGACCCAGATGTTTACCTTTATTTAGGCCCGAGCAGCTAAGCGCTGCAAAGGCCTATTGTAATTGTGCTGTTTCTTATTTTGCTTGTTTCTCTTCTTTTTTCTTTTTCCTAAAT